GTAAATTGAGACTTGACCAACCGCGGAATTCTTAGTCGATTGGACTGCTGGAGTTCTTGGTTACTTCGACAAGCAGTGGTTTAGTTCTCTGTCCATCTGATGCGCGTCCATCTGAGTGTACATGCTGTTATTAGTCATAAAATTAATTTCAGAGATAAAAGCTACAAGTTTTCTGTGACTGTTCACCACATGCAGAAGGAGATACTATAAGTCATCCAGTAGTGTTAAATGTGGACAATGAATGGGGTCTCTGCCCTAGAAGAAATATCTTACTCTCACCATTGGGTCCGCCTGTTTCATCCTGAAGCGAGGACCTGATTCTAATTTGTATGACTCGCCATTTGATTTGAATACCAAATCTACTCTTACACGGCTTGTTTCCCTGGGAATCTTTCAGCCTCATGAATCAGTGCGGTGGCTTCTCACAGGAGTATCAATTTCTCTTCCACAGCATGTTCTTCCTAGTCTCCCAAGTTGTTTACCAGATTAGACTGAGAAGTTTATGTAGGGTAAAGGTATCCTCTAGTCAAATGGCATCCGGTGCTCCCATGTTTCAATCTTTTCAAGTGATACTGCTCCCCTTGTTCATCGTGTCTAATTGTACTTCTTCAGTAATTCTTTTTCTCTTTTTGGAGATTAATTAATCTTTTTATTTTAGGTTGGCCTATTGGCCTTGGTTCCTCTCATATTTAAAGAAGCGGCTGCTCCTTTTTCTTGTCTGTTTTGTTTATGAATCAAATTACCAGCTTAAGGTTTTCTCTTTCTCCTTAAGACGTCAGTCTGTCTTCTTTTGTGGCTTTTCAGTTCGCCGTCACCTTTTGTCTGTTTATGAAGTCTGTATTTAGCCTTTTGCTTTCACATATTTTACACCTGCGGTCTTGAAAATTCAGTGGAAGCACTATTTGCATGTTCATCTTTTCTGGATCATGGTTCATTAGTTTTTTACAGAACAGATTGGTAAAAATGGCATCCGGCATATTCCACTTTGCATTCTGGTCTGCCTGCTGTGCCCACATCTGAAGCCAGGAGAATCACCATTGATGTACAGAAGTATCGTGTGCAACCTTGTTGGATTCTCTGAAGAATAAATCAATATATCCTCATCAGTTCCTCATTAGGTTAGTCTGTGTCACTAATGCTCCATCTTTGGTCATTCAAGCCGTTGACTTCTTTTGTAAGTGAGTATCGTTCTCCTAGTTCCGCAAACAAATTTGAGATAGCTTGCTCATGCTATAAGACACAGAGAAGACACGAAGGTCCTAGACTTCGCAGAATAATCACGGAATGCTGTCATGGCTTCAGCTGTTTGTACTTGGGGTCAAACGGGAATTCTACAAATTCTGTTTTTTAGTATTTTTTCTGATCTAATATAGGATTGGGCTAGCGCACTATTTTAGCAAGTACGAAGCTTTAATTTTCCAGGGCCCGTGTTTTATAGATTCATTCTTTCTTTCTTTTCTCTCTTTCTTCCAAGATGTTTGCGTTCCTCTATCACGCCTTGCCGAATGCATATCGGTATCAAAGTAAGAGTTAGATGCCTCACCTTTAGTTTGGTATTGCCCTTCTCTATCCATAGGGAAAACCTTCAAGGGCAGCTAGCTACGAGTTTGACGGATAGTATCTGATCACTCTTCCCCACTTCATCCAGCACGCTATTGCTCATGCCGGTGATGGGAACTTCCACACTGTGATCTTGTTTGATCCGAGCAAGGAAGACCAGCGAAAGGAAGCAGAGAGGCTCAATCATCTTGTTTGATCCGTGCACACTGCCTTATCCATGGAAGGTTGGACAATCTCCTCTGATACACTGTTTAATCCGTTTGCTTAGAAACGTCTGGTAGAATCTTATTTAC